CCAAAATATGGCACCCTTGGTACTTTGTCTGAATTATTTTTCTATACTATGCATAGAATTTGAGATACGGGGTTCATAGATTAAAATGACTCACCCTGTATATAAGTCGATTTCACTCTAAATACATCATATTTACAATTCATTGCTTATTGAGTATTAGTCATGTCATAAATACATAGTCGGCGATCGTACATGTATATTGTATTGCGTTTATATTTAATTATACGGATATATACAGCGTAGGCCATTTTAATCTACTATCAAAATACAATAAGTCTTTACAAAATCCAAGAGATGGCGCTCGTCACGCTTAAATTATGATGTTTTTGGCAAGCAATACTACTAACTAAATATTGTACAAAGTTTCAGCTCCATTCATTAATTCGTTTTTATGTGAGCGTTAGTTGAACAAAAAGTTATTGGTTTATTTGAAAAATAGAAAAAACAGAGTTTCGAGCGTTGATAAAACATTTTCATTTGAAAGGCCTTACACCAAAAGAAATCACAGTTGAGTTGAACGCCGTTCATGGCAAGTCTGCTCCTGTGTTTAAGACTGTTTATAACTGGATAAATGAATTTAAACGTGGCCGTACAACAAAAGATGAACTTCGTTCAGGACGCCCCGTAGAAGTGAGTACGCCCAAAATGGTCAACAAAATCCACGATATGGTGTTGAGTGATAGAAGATTAAAATTGCGAGAAATAGTTGAGGCCACAGGGGTATCAAAGGGTACAATCATTTCAGTTTTGCATGAAAAATTGAGGATGAAAAAAATATCAGCAAAATGGATGCCGCGTTTGCTCACTATTAAAAACAAACGAACCCGCGTGGTCACCTCTGAGGCTCTTTTGGCACGCATACGTCGTAATCCGGAAGACTTTTGGCGTCGAGTCGTAATTGTAGACGAAACATGGGTACATCACTACACTCCTGAAACCAAAGAACAGTCCAAACAATGGATTATCGCAGGAGAATCAGCCCCAAAGAAGGCAAAGACAGTAAAGTCAGCTGGCAAAATTATGGCCAAGGTTTTCTGGGATGCGTATGGAATCATCTACATCGACTACTTGGAAAAGAGCCAGACGATTACTGGACAATATTATGCGTCATTATTAGGTTAGCTGAAAGAAAAAATCAGAGAAAAACGTCCTCACTTAAACAAAAAAAAATGCCTCTTTCTTCAAGACAATGCTCGAGTTCACACGTGTGCAGTTTCAATGACAAAAATTAACGATTTAAAGTTTGAATTAATTGACCATCCACTATATTCGCCTGATTTGGTTCCCAGTGACTTTTTTTTATTGCCCAACCTCAAGAAATGGCTTGCCGGACAACGATACACGTCGAATGAAGAAGTCATCGCTGAAACAAATGCCTATTTTGAGGGTTTTTAGAAATCATATTTTTCTGATGGCTTAAAAAAACTGGAAGGCCGTTTAATAAAATGTATCGACCTTCAAGGAAATTAGGTTGAAAAATAAAAAAAAAATTACATACGCAAAACTTTTTTTTCCTTCTTTTTGTAAAGACTTATTGACCCCCCCCCCCCCCGTAATAACATAGGTACCAACACTGTTTTTCCCTAAAATGCTTTTTTTACTGTTAAAAACTACATTAAAAAAAGCATTTCATAACAGAATATTGAATTTAAAATGACAAAGTTTTCTTAACAAAAAAGGTTTTCTCAGGCTCTCTGCTCGCCCTCTTGAATCAACAGGTAGATTTCTTCTATGGACTTATTTATTTATTTCTTCTACCAGATCTTCAATGGTCTTTACCTCATTAAATTTGGCGAAATTCTTGTTTTGGTACTTACATTACAGGACTTCATTTGGAAAATCCTCATAAAACATCTCATTGACTCAAGTATTCAAGTTCCTATCCTCACCTACCCCGCAGACTGATAACTTAGTCATGAGTCAACAAAAGTAGAAATGACCAGATCTTCAATGGCCTGAAACTCGCTCAATTTAGGGTTGTAAAAGTTTGTAAGGGATTTTCATTCATCAAAGTGACGTGATTCGTAAATTTCAAGGTTTTAATTTTTTATTAATAAACCAAATCACATATCAAATTTTTAAAACAACTATAATAAAATAGAGACTCTAAGAAGTAGCTTTCAAATTTTTCGCCTCAATTTGTTTATAATTCTCTTGTTATAAGCAAGATAATCCCCTCCCCCCGTTGCAACTTTTACATATTCGCACAGTCATTGTCTGTTTTCGCGGTCCTGTTTTTCTATATTTTCGATGACAGATCAAAATTGATAAAAATGGCATTGATCGCATGCAACTAATATTAATTTTGATACTCCTTAGATCACCTTTCATAATTATAAACAGGTTCAGAGAAATAACAAAAATAATCGGCTGCATCATAACCAATATACTAAAGTGCAGTAGCTTAATGAACAAGATTTTTATCTACGCATAGAATTTGGCCAACGAATGATTCAAGATATCTAGAATGACGAGAATTTTTTAAACACAGTACTATTTACAGATGATCCCACCTTTGGCACAGATGGAAAATTTAACATGTATAATAACCACTATTATGCAAAAGAAAACCTAAATTTGGTAGTAGTTAATAGGCAAAAAAATAGGTATTTTAAAAATAAATGGTGTGGCATTTTAGGAAATCGGTTGGTGAATTTGATCATATGGTCACTATTTATATTTTATTCAACAGATACTAAACATAAATGGGTTTCTATATTTAGATCGACCCAGTAGAAATGCCCAGAAATTTGAAAGGGTGAAACTATCACGATTTTTTGCAAAATAGTCTGCCACGAACGTTGAACGATTTGTCCGATAATGAAAATATTTGGTATCAACATGTATAGCAGGATTCCTCACAGAACTGACGCTGTGAAAGCTCTACTTGATCACATATTTTTAAATAGGGTTTGGTAGGTAGTTTTCATAATCCTCCAGATTCCTTCCTCTAAGGTGCTGTAAAAGATTACATTTACAGTACAGAGGTAGAAAATCTAGAGGTGATCTTGAAGCTAGAATGGCAGTCGCTCTTGAATCGATCACGTCCAAAATGTTGGAAGCAACGAAAAGAAATTTTGTGCGTCGACTGTACTGTTGGATAGAAGGTGGCGGCGCACAGTGGGGATTGAAAACGGTCTTCACTAAATTCAACTTTCAAGGCGAACCATATGTGGAAATTCGATGAATTTTTTTTTAAATAACTATTGAATGATTCTGCAGAGATCTCTCGAACCCAAATATAGATATTGTTTTTTATCGTCTCTAACTGACTATGAAAGTAAATAAAAGCAGAAATTCGTGGCATAATTAATTTTTTTTTACGCTAAAACTAATAGTGATCGATCAAAATGTGGCTTAAAATCTCATCTTCTAACTTCATAGAATACGTGAAAATTTTTTTGACCCAAAATCTAACATGTATTTCTTTTAAAGGTCACTTGAAGGTCAATACTATTTTTTATGTCAAATTTGCGGCTCATTGGATTTCAAACATGCTAAATCACTAACTTAGAGTATAATGTATTCTTTTCTCAAAGTAAAAGAATGTTTTTCGAAACACAGTTTATTTACTCATTGAAACCAACTCCCTGCAATATATATATATATATATATATATATATATATATATCAAAGAATTTGTCACATTAATGTGCTAAAAATGATGCAACAATGGGTTTGTGGGTTTGTTGCATTGAAGAAAATCATTTCCTGCACACCAAATTAGTCATGTCGTATATTTCCAATTCGAAGAATAGTCGTTTAATCGTAACAAATAGTATTGACCTTCAAATGATATTGAAAAAAGTACCTACCTTCCAGTTACTTTGAGAAAAGAATACATTATACTCTAAGTTAGTGATTTAGCATGTTTGAAATCCAATGAGCCGCAAATTTGACATAAAAAATAGTATTGACCTTCAAGTGACCTTTAAAAGAAATACATGTTACATTTTGGGTCAAAAAAATTTTCACGTATTCTATGAAGTTAGAAGATGAGATTTTAAGCCACATTTTGATCGATCACTATTAGTTTTAGCGTAAAAAAAATTAATTATGCCACGAATTTCTGCTTTTATTTACTTTCATAGTCAGTTAGAGACGATAAAAAACAACATCTATATTTGGGTTCGAGAGATCTCTGCAGAATCATTCAATAGTTATTTAAAAAAAAATTCATCGAATTTCCACATATGGTTCGCCTTGAAAGTTGAATTTAGTGAAGACCGTTTTCAATCCCCACTGTGCGGCGGACATTTCGAACATGTTCTTTGAACTGTAAATATTAACTAATTCTAATCAAGCTATTTGATACGAAAAATATATTGTATTTTCTTTTTGATTTTTCACATCTGAATGAAAGAAATTTTTTATATATTTATTGTTCTGAAGTTAATTGTATTCAACATGAAAAAAAAAGAAGTCTGTAGTTTGTAAATAGTTTGTAATATAATTATTTGTTTAATGTTCACTGTCTTATGAGTAACTACTTTATTTTAATTATTGTTCTAAATAAAATTTATTTGTTCTTGAATTATATGTTTCAAAAATTAATTAACCATAAAAATTAAGTATATAAAATTTTAAACCACAAATACTTTCACACTTTCAATAATAAAATTAAAAACTGTCAATATGATATTAGAATTAGTTCACGGAAATTGTTGAAGAAAAAAAAAATCGAAAAAAGTATACGGAAAACACAATAAAAAGTTCTTAAATAAGTATATGAAAAAGGCCTCGTATTTTGAGAACTTTTTGAGAACTATTTTGTGTGCTTTTTTAAGAACTTTTTCGCGGACTTTTTCGAGAACTGTTTCTTGTACTTTTTTGCTGACTTTTTCGAGGACTTTTTTGAAGACTTTCTCGAGGACTTTTTCTACGAAGACAAGAACATGTATAAAAGATAAAAAAGATAAAACTGTACAAAAGACCTTAAAGCAGTCTCAACAAATATTTACAAAAAATTCATATGTATATGTTTACATTATATTACTTACGTTTTTTTTAATATATTCTCTGGTTTCTAAAGGACAGTTCAACCATCGTTGTTGATACCGTGATTTTACCGTTAAATCTTTTGAGGTAAGTTGATTTTTCAATTGCAGGCCTGCAGCCATCCGAGCGACCGGGCTAGCCGCCGCAGTAACGAGCACTCCACTTAGCCGTTGGATAAATTCGTGCTATAAACAAGAAAGAGATATGTATTCATTTTACAATACGAATATTTTAAGTTAACAATATTATTAATTTTACGTTCAAAAAATTTGTATTGTCTTTGCAATGGAATTATTTGGGTATAAAGATTTTATCTTCAAAATTCCAACGACATGGACACTATAATGATCACATGGCTAGCAAGTGGCTTGATCTTACAAAAGTTATTAATAAATACTAAACAATTATAGAAAAAAGCCTATAAAAGTATCGAATCTAGTTTAATATAAGTTATAAAAAATAAAAGATTTGATAAAATCAGCTTGAGAACTAATTGCAAGTTTACATACCATTGCGATACGCACTAACACAGAACTCAAGCAAAATCGATGAAAAAATAGACACTTATTGACATTTTTAAATACGAGTATTTGTATATATATGCAGAAATGTGTAATATTTGCTGATGATTAAGATAGATTGATAAGAGAGAAAAAATACGTCAGAAGAGTGTATATGGGTGAAATTCAAAAAATTGTAAATACATGTTTTTGGGCCCTAAGTTTTTTATGGAAACTATATCCACATGTCTACTTAATATAGTTCGTTAACAACAACCCTAAACAACTTGTTCAGATACTAAAACATTATTTAAAACACTAATTTTGGTCTGCATGACCGAAAAACAAGCAAAAATGTCCTCGTGACACGCGTCGTGGGCGCAGAAGTATTTGTTTTTCAAAGAAAAATGTATTCAAATAAATATTTATTAAAAATCTACTACAATGATTTTTGAAGGCCTTACAACAAGGAATCGAATGGTGGGGTGCAGAAATGCAATAACTTAATAAATAGTGTTCAAAATTAAGCTTAAAGTTATGTTTTTTTTTTGTCCTTGTGTCACGCTTTCGACATTTTATGGTATAAATATTTAAGAAGTCAAAAATTAAATGCTAAATGATTTCAAATATTAAAATTTGTTTATTTTCTATCAATTGAAGGGGTTATTGGTATGATAAGTTGTATGTTAGGTGAAAAAATACACTTAAATAAGATCGTAAAAAAACGTACCTTTTCTCATGTCCTCGTATATAATAAAAAATATTATCGCGATCGAGTAACGGGGAAAAGAAAGTACACGCCAAGAGCTTGAAAATGACTATAAAGTATATATTATTATTATATGTATCGATTACAAAGTAACAGCATTGAATAAAAAAAGAAATATAAATGTCCTCGTGTCACGCTTTTAAAGTTCAGTATTTCAAGAACTGTTTGATGAATTTGAAATAATTGAACGGCATTTTAAAGGCGACAGCAAATACTGCAATTTTATGTATTTCAATATTACATAGTATATTTTATAATTTTTTAACTTTATTTATTTATGGTAAAAATTTCTAAGTAAAAAATTGTAACTGCAAAAAAATAAAGTAAAAAGTATTAAAAATATTTAAAAATGCAGAAAACAATAGTATTTACCCGTACCTTTCGAATGCCGTTGGATTTCTTTAAATTCATCAAGTCGTTCCTGAGATATTTAAGTTTAAACTTGAAACTCTAAAAAAAAAGAAATTAAAAAAATTTTACGCCGCCGTTTTTAAAAAAATTCAAAAATAGCTCGCCCATTCTTGTTTTCTTTTTATTTATGATATATATAAACATATAAAAAGATGTAAAGTAAAATTAAAAAAAATTTTTTTTCATTTTTGAAAAATGTCATTTTAGCAATTTTTTGAATTTTACCCATATATGAATGACGTTCTAATAACTTATATTCTCCGCAATAAAATTAATGCAACACCTATTTCCGAATAAATAAGGGCTCAAATTCGAAGATCGATATTTCAGGTAAAAAACGTAAAAGTATCAAATTTTTTTTATTAAAGGTTGAAGTCTCTACTTTTAGATGATGGAACTCGATTTTTTTATTTGACGCAACCTTTACTTACATGATCTCGATTCAAGGTCATTTTTTAAAGCTCAAAAATCGTTAACTTTTACAGTGCACCTGCGCATGGATAATTTTTTTCGATAGAGATATCTTCACGAAGCACGTTTAATATCGCAAATTCGTGTTAGAGTACCTTTTCTCGCAGCAAGTATCCTTGTTCACAGACGAGTTAAGATTTTGCCTGTACGTTAACGATATTCGAATATTAATTTAACAGCGTAGTGAGGAGTGTTTTGAGCCAAACCATATTCAACTGACCAAGATTTTTTTTGGTATATCCGTCATGATATGGGGAGTATCTCTTTAAACGATCGCGTTGATTTTACTGTAGTTGCACATCTCGGGTCAACAACTTAAATGCGTTCACCGATGAAATTTTTGAGCCTCACGTGCTTCCAACGAGTCACCGTATAAATTCAAATTTCATTTTCATGCAAAATAATGCACCCCTCTATTCCACAAGTGTTACTTAGGCTTACATGCGAGAATACTATTTGAAAATACTGCTGCATCCACAGAATAGTCCAGATCTTAATCTAGTTGAACATGTACAGGATATGATGGATAGATAATTGCGCAGTAGGCAGAGACAGCCAAGGAATCTTGAAAAACTGGGGCTAGTTCTAATTAAGATATGGCACGAAATACCTCAAGACGTGATAAGCGCTTGCATTAATATGCCTGTAAGATTAGCTGAGATTATTAGACGCCGAAATAGCAACGCAAGATATTGAAGAATTTCTGTGCAATTTTTAATATTTAGCCCTTTTAAGCCCCCCCCCCCCCTCAAACACAGATACGTACACACGCATGCACACAAATACACACACATATGATAAGTTAAACCTGATCAGTTTTCCCGTCGTGGTACGTATTGGATAACATTAAAGTCGATGGTAATATTCGTTTCGCTCGGATATGAGTTTTTTATTTCAATTTCATCACAATCAACCAAGAAATAACATTCGTACCTATGCATAGTATAGCATTTTTAACCTGAGATATCGACCTACTCAGTCAAGTCATTCTACACCACTTATTCAATCGTAGGGTGGATTGAAATTATAAAATTTTATATAAAAAAGAGTGTATTTTTAATACAAAATGTCTGTAAAGCCATCAAAAAATCATAGTTCGTCTTCTTTTTTAATTAAAGAAAAATATTTATACTTTCAAATGCAACGATCAGAATTATTGAACAAAATCACCCACGCGCGGGCGAACTATGGAAGTTTACGACCTTTGAACTTCAAAAAATGACCTTAAATTTCAAAGGAGTCGCGTCACATCGAAAATCTAGTTGCACCATCTTAAAGTATACACTTCAACCTTTAACTAAAAAAAATTTATCGCCTTACGATATTTTTACCTGAGATATCTATCTTCGAATGTACGCTCTTTTTTAATCGGAAATAGGTGTTGCGTTAATTTAATTGCGGAGTGCATTCATGTATAAATATTGATTAATATGAATATTGATTTTTATGAATCATAAAATAAAAATTTACAAATTATAAACAATAAAAATACTTGATCTGATAAATTATTTGCATACAAAACAGCATCATTCTGACACGCCACAACAGACCAGATAAGTCAGAGGTAATAAAAAATGACGATAAAGTTAGCCACATTATTCCAGCCGCGTTTAGAAAAAAACCAGGAATGAAATGTACCAGGGTCCCCGGACTTAATAATTTTTAATTAAACGTAATTGACTGGCTGAAATCATTAAAAATAGATAAAAAGGCAATTATTTATGTTCCACTATGGAAAATAAGATTACCAACGATGAAAATCGTGAATATTTCGCCGAAGTCGTAATAGATGGTAACGCACGGTTTAAGCACTTTTATCGCTCCTAATTTTTCCCTGACATCTCAAATCGTGTTCTAATATTTTTTATTAAATATTTGAAGATATTTACAACAAGAAAAAACCATAACCGCCCCCTTTAGTCTCGGAAAATTTTGTTGTTAGTGACTTTCCCAACCGAAGCGTATGACATTATGCAACATTTGCATTTTAAGCACTCCTAACTTTTTTCTCTCACCTTGAATTGTACTCTAATAATTTTTATTATTAAAGTATAAATCACCTCCGCTAGGTTTTGGAAAACTTTCATGTGATTGATTTTTCCAACCAAAATTCTAGACGGTCAACGAGCATTGCACTTTGAACCTTCCTAATTTTCTTCTGCCACCTCGAATCATGTTAAATCAATCTTTTGCGAAGCAGGTGCATTTACCGTTATAATATTCGTGAATCACTACTATTTTACGATATGCTAATAGGTTTGATTCAATCTCGTATGATCTAAATAATAGCGAAACTCATAACCACTATCAGACATCGGTAAGCTGCTAAACCTTCGAATGGTATAGTTCGGCGCGCTATTTGTTGTCTCAATTCTCGTTTTCCTAAAATTATTTTTTCAATAAGTTTATTTATTTATTCATGTATAAGTTACTTAGTAAGGCTTTATTATTAAAACGATATATTAAACTATTAAAGTAAGGTATTTGGTATTCATAAAAAACGACATTTAATAAATTTTCCAGCACATGTAAATATATATGGCACATTCCAAACTATGACGATCAGCTTTTCAGGGTTAGGTTTCGGAATTTCTTGAAATTTGGTCTACATATTGCTTATCTGGTACTGTATTTAAGTATGAATTATTAGATCATTATAATAATTATATCCAAAGTTATAAAGGTTTGGATAGGCGTTTTAATGTAATACATTCTAATTCAAAAATTCCATTCCATAAAATTATAGAGATAAACAAGTTTTTGTTTTTAAACACGTATTTTCAATTTAATAATATAATATATAAACAGATTTTTGGCCCCGTGGGTTTTTTGGACGCATGAGATCTCCAATTTCCCCTTTTTTTTCGAATTTGGTAATGGATGACTCGAAGACTGAATGATTGAATATTCTTGCGAAAAAATTTAATTGTATTCCGATATTTATCATCGTTATGTAGACGATACTATATTATGTGTCAAAAACGATCATATTCAAATAGTTTTAGATACATTTAATAGTTACAATGAACATTTG